TTAAGAACTGTAAAGGATTATAACAGCAAAACAACAATAATACGAAGCAGATTGGGAGCTGAAAGTCTTGGGGTTGATATCCAGTTTTGCAGTCGATTCTCACCACTGGAGACAAGATTCACTCTTATCATGCTTCAATTTATTCAGTGTTCTCAGTTTCAATACACTTATATTAGGGAGGATATTTCTGTAGAACTGAAATCCCAAATCCTGATTTGTGAGCACACAGAAACTGGGAAATGAAAGCTAAAAGAAAACCCAGGCATTCCTGTGATGAAAGAGTTAAAATCACCCAGAAAATGTTAGAATGACTTCAGCTGAAGTCAAAAGAGTGCTCTGTGCTATTCCAGCTGCTGATGGCTCTGCGGGACTATTTAAATCTTGTATTTTTCACAGCACCACGATAGTGATCAGAACATACTTCTCCAGCTCTCTAGATTCACCACTTTGAAATGAAAGTCAAAAATCTACAGGAGGCGGCAATAAAATGAATTATTTTAAATTACCCATTGTTACTGTACCTGGTTGGGGAATAGAGCCAAGCTGTGCAAGAAATGCTGTCACAGGAAACCATCGCTCTTATCATTCAAAAAAGAGCTGAAAAGGGACCCAATGATGTTCTGTGAAAAACCGTCCAGAGAGCAAAGAGCCCCTCGACTCCAGGACTGGGGTCAGCGAACGCCAAGGGGCAGGAAGCACTTTTACAAAGGACCTTCAGAATTACCACTTTTTTGTCAGAGAACACACAGTTAAAAACTGCAGCTGATTACAGCATCCATTAGCATTATTCACAAACCTGAAATAAAACTTTGTATCACCGAGCAAGCTGGGCAGACCTGGTGGCCAAGAAGCCCTCCATCAAGAAAAGGAAGTCTGAGACTAAAATCTGCTTCCTGGGACATTCCCTTCTTAATTCCCACTGCCCCATGCAAGCATGCATTGTTCTTTATGTAGGTTCCGGATATTTTACTATTACCTTTCTCAGCAAAAAGCAGTAGTTGCTTCTTTCAGACCTGGTCTGTAAATATTTCATGAGAGTACATATATATTGATCTAAAAATCAACATCAGAACACGAGAACAAACCCTAAG